AGCTAAACTGGTGAAGCCACGCATAAAGAATGAATAGTAATACACCGGCAAAAAAAGTTTGGAGACCAGAGTGTAAGAGAGGAAGAGACCTTTTTTCGTTTTGTGATTCAGAAAGCATGGATAATCATTAAAAACCTGAAGACCAATGTCAGAGAAACAAGTAGAATAAAAACGATCACAATGAAGGACTGGGTGTATTACTACCAGTCACTGTTGAAGGAGGATACTGTGGATAGAGTTAACACTTTTTGATTGGGTTGGATTGCATCAAAATGATATACATGGTCATGAGTTCATAATCCACTCTGTATCATATCTATGCAATGGATCTGAAAGTGGTAGATTTTAATTCTGTCCACAAAGGGTGATGAATTGGATAATTATAAAGACCTCTTTAGGGCACTCTACACAACCACATTGATTTTTCCAACAATTTAAGAATATGGCAGAAAGTAAATATAAAGATTAGGGATTTATGGCAACACAAAATTAAGCGTCACAAGGTGAGAAGAAGGAGTTATTACCACAATGATAATACTAGAAACAATATCAAAACATAATACAATAATAGAATTTTGAAAATCATTAATTCTTGGAGTTTTATTTATTCTTTATTGAAAGATTGTTTTTATTTAACACGTTGGCTGCCATGAGGATCACCGGTGTTCCTCAGAAAAATTTCACTAATATGCCACGAGGATCACAGCGGATCCTCAAGTCGAAACCAGTTTTGAGGTTAGTTCCTGAATATTTTCTTCACTTTCTGTTATTTATAACGACCAAGTGCTGAAGTGATAATTAGAATTTATTTATAATATTACAAATTTCATCATGGATTTCAAACCTGGGCCCAGTGGTGTAACTAGACGTAGGCCTATAAAAAAATTGAAAGAACATGAACTTGCAGCCGCACTTGAGAGTGATGATGATTCTGAAGGAAGCTTATTCTCATCATTCTGCTCAGAATTTCAGGTGGATGTTGAGTCATCGGAATCTGGGGATGAAGTGGATCTTGAAACGTCAGTTCAAGAGGAAACAGAAGAATGGCAAGAGATACGTGTGGACAAATTACCACTTCATATACAGTTTTTAGGCTCAAAATCATACAAAATTGATGACATTGATACATAAAATCAAGAAAGTGTAACTGCCGTGCAGATATACCGGAAGTTTTTTGACGCAGAAGTTTTGAGTGTTATTGTTCGCGAAACAAATAAAAATGCTGCAACTACTATTCAAAACAGTCGACCAAGTCACTCGGCCAGCATCAATAAATGGGTGGATACCAATGAAGATGAAATGTGGAAGTTTTTTGCTGTCCTTCATTATATGGGATTTGTAAAGTATCCTAAAATAGCTGATTATTGGTCCACCGGCATTTTATACAAAAATTATATCATTCCAAAAGTAATGAGCAGAAATAGATTTCAACTATTGCTGAGATTCGTTTTGCTGATAATTCGACGGCTGACAAAAGTGATAGATTATACAAAGTTAGAAATCTAATCGACATGATGAAGGAACGATTCAATGTCGAATATGTGCCTGGAGAAATGATAGATGTTGATAAAACAATGATTCCTTTTCGTGGCCGATTATTATTCAGACAGTACATTCCCAACAAAAGCCATAACTATGGAGTGAAAATGTTCAAGTTGTGCAATCCAATTGGTTATACATTGAGCATGTCACTGTATTCTGGAAACAGTTACTGGACTGCAGTCTGCTGGACTTGCTAAAAGAGTAATTGTGGAACTTGCAGAGCCATATTTATCTGAAGGAAGGCTTATAGTAGTGGATAACTTTTATACATCAGTACCATTGGGAATTTTACTTTTACAGAGGACTTACCCTAAAGAAGAACAGGAAGTACAAAGGATATCATGACAAAAAAACTAAAAAAAGGAGAAGTGGTTGGTAAACAAAATTCGAAAGGAATTGTTGTTGGAAACTGGAAGGACAAACGCGATGTTTACTTCCTAAGCACAAAACATACTTTGGAAAAGATGACAACTGGACGAAAAAAACAGGTTGGGAGAGGAAGTTTGTAAGCCAGTTGCTGTTTTAGAATACAACAAGGGCAAGCGTGGGATAGACCTTTCAGACCCAATGTCAAGTTATTTTACACCCTTGAGAAAAACCATTAGATGGTATCACAAAGTAGCTTTTGAGGTTCTATTGAATACTGCTATAGTCAATGAGCTTTTCATTTATAATCATTTTCACGTATTGAAAAGAATAACGTTACACCAAAACGTTCAGATTCCCTGAAGCACAGCTTAGTGCAAAGTGAAGAAAAGGATAACAACAATCGGCGAAAAAGAAGATGTACAAATTGTTACGCAGAAGCTGCAAAAGAAGGGTGTTCAGTAGCACAAAAACAAGGAAAATTAGTTTCCACCAGATGTCATGTTTGTGACAAGTATATGTGTCTTCCATATTTTACAAAACTGCATTTAAAATGCAAAAATAATAAAGATAAGTTTTGTAAGTCAAGATCTCATTGCACTTGAGTAATCCTGGTGATCCTCATGGCAATAAAGTAAAACAGTTGTTACTGCAGTGCCATGAGGATCACTGGTGAATTCATATTTTGTTTGCTTTCTACCATCATATATACTAAGGTAAAAGTACCAGTAGTTGACACTGCACTAGTAGTTGACACTTATGAAGAAAAGATAAATTAACAAGAGAAACACAGGCGGCAAAAGATCGAAATATGTTCGTCTATGTAGCATAGTTCTCTAGCGACGTAAATACAGACTATCGTGCCATTAAGCACGTGACACAGTGATCGTCTGATTACAACGAGTGCATGGTTTTCATTCGATTATTGCAATATGCTTGTGAAGTTTGCTAAGAATAAGCTGAAAGATAAGCATTGGAAATGTTAACATTATTTTATAATTTTGATTAAAATTAATTTTGTTGAAAAATATGTATTCATTTTTTGAAAATGCCCTGAAATAAAAAATGGCTTTATTAGGCATAGTGTCAACTATTAAAACTTTATGACATAATATTGAGTAGTTGACATGAGGGTCTCAACTTGTGGGTAGTAATATAATTTTATAATACTGCTTTATTTTGGTGTTATTTAGCTGTTTACAGAGCGAAACCTTCTATTATAACTTCTAAAACATTTTAAAACCAATGTGGCTGAAGTTAGATTCACTCGCCAGACACAGATTTGAATATTTACAGTCGATCAAACAAGTAGTGGTCCTAAAATTTTATTTCAAATATGAACTTCTTTTCTCACCACTTGGGAGCGTTTTACTCTAAAATCACGCTAAGTACTTAAGTTGAACCCTCTAGAACCCCCGTATCTAGAGATGGGGATGCTGGAGGAGGGTTTAATTTCTAATAATTTTGTAGAGTAAGTTTAGGATTTTTTTCTCATCCCCCGGGGAGTACTTCACTTTGCAACTACGCTAAATAATTAAGTCGAACCCTCTAGAACCTCCATGCGCGATCAGAACCCTTGAATTTAGAGATGGGGATGCAGGGTGAGAGTTTAATTTTTGTTATGCTTTGAGGATCATTGAATGCCCACGCTTTTGATCAATTAATGATATTGTTATTCACGTTAAACATAAATTGCAATTAGTTGAAATCAGTGCCAACTACGATGAGGTAACTTTTGAAACTGCAATGACGTAAACAAGGCTTGCAGATATGTAAAAATACATTTTTTCTGGCTTAACCACTTATGTAATCAAAATCTTATAAGAGACAAAAACGGTTCAGAACTAAATGGGCTATTCAGAAATTATAATAATGTAATTGTCGCCTGGCGAGAAAAAAAATATGGAGTAATATTCAGTGAACACATGACTTTTCCATCATTCCTGTGTTTCTAAAATTGTATCAAAAACCATAAAAAGACATTAATTGAACCTAGGAACTCACTTCTGAAAAATGGTTTCAATTGATTTACGCGTTTTCGAATTATAAAAAATAAAAGAATTTTTTTTGCTAACTTTGAACTCCTCTAGCGGCGAAACGAAGCAACTTTAGATATAGATAAGTTAACTTAAATCGACCTATTTTGAGCCAAGGACTCTGTGGTCTTCCATTGTACACGCATTTCGGAGACAACCTGTATATAAAAAATTCATAGTGATTTTATTAATCTAATTCTTGTCACATTATAATAGAGGAATAGTTTGTGCAGCTATCACTAATTAGAAGTTTTTCCTAAAGTGAGTTCAGTCCAAGAAACAGACTAATAAATCCTTAAAGTGTCAACTTCTGGTGCTTTTACCTTATTTACATGTAAAAGAGATGTCGTTTTTCAAAAAAGAAACTCTAGTGTACCATTTTTTTAAAGTGCCCCTAGGGAATTATTTAATTGGTTGTATGGTGGCAGACAACTTGTTAATGTATTAAATTGTGTTGTCTTCTTGTGTGCCTTTTTTGTCCCATACAAAAATATTACCATATAATAAAATAAAAATATTACCCATACTAATTCTAAAGCTACTCAAAATCCATCATTGGTATAATTAGTTCCGCTTTTAAAGATTAAATAGCAATACAAATTTGTATTTGTCAATGGGAACTCACCCCTTCGTTCCCATGTTGAAAGAAATTTTGCACCTAAATCCAAAATGTTATCGGATACTTTAATCTGAATAAAAATTAATTTATTAAAAGTCTTAAATGTTTCAAAAAAAGGATTTCGATATTAATCACAAAAATATCTTTAAATTGACAGATAAACGTCAAATTGACAGAAGAAAAAAATTTGAGGTTACCTTTGACATAAACTTTTTATGAGGTTATGTTATTCACAATTTTTGACAATCTAATAATTTATGAAAATATTTTTGATTTAATAGAGATAAAATTGATAAAGCACATTGTATGTACTAAATAAAACACATTCCAATGTATTGAGTTGTTTATTATTTAAATAAACCTGACGTCACTCCGTGATTAATTGTTATTAACAAGAAATTCCAAAACAAAAAATAATTAAAAAGAGATTTACTTACCATTTCGTGAAACATCCAATTCGACTAGATTCTCAAAGTTCTGAATATCCGGTGGTAACCTGTGTATTTCATTATCGCTGAGACCAAGTTTCCTCAATCGATTTAATCGAAAAAAATTCTGAAATAAATATTAATAAAGAAATAAATAATTTTATTTTCCTCTCTCACCTTGGGTAAATCTCTAATATGATTGGCATCGAGTAAAAGCTCTTCCAAACTCCTCGAATACCGTAAAATATCCTCCGGTACATTCGGGAGACTACAATGCCGTTTGTCGACAATTTCAATTTGCCTATTGCAACCTTTAAAGATAGGTATACACCGGAACATGATGTTGTTCCGTTTTTAATTATCTTTTTTTCCCTAATAGTTTAGAAACCGCTACCGATTTTAGGAAACCGTTAATTTATGTTTACACCGTTAAACGCGATCGGACACTTTTACACATTTAGAAAGAAAACAATTCGGCGATTCGTTTTGCGATTAAAACCACCGATTGCGGACGGTTTTTACGGTGTTTTCGCGAAAAACATCACAGACCGAGAGTTCTCGCACACCACTCCTATACGTTTCGTTTTAACGGCAACTAAAACATTACCTGAGCCAGTTGCTGACATTACCGATCGAGCAGGTGTATGTAGTTACGAATTCTTCCGCGAGGGCGTTACCAAACGAATTAAATAAATAAATTATTTAACAAAGTTACATTCTAATTTATATCTTTTTATAATTAAACATTTTATTTTAATTTAAATAACATTATTTGCATTAATAAACAAAATTAAATCACAACATTATTAAAATTAATGTAGATATAACATGATCGTTTGGTTGCCTATACTAAATGTGATAAATTTATTTTTGAATAATATAATTTTTATTTCGCAATTTATTTGATAAACAATTATTAGAACACCACTTATTCATTATGTATATTATTATACAAAATTGCTAAAATATCTATTTAGTTATTTCTTAAATGCTAATCGATAGATTGGTTGTCTATACTGCGCGGCAGAATCGTGTTGACCAAACAATTATGTTTAAAACTGGTACACTGAGAAAAATGATATGGAAAATTGAGCTAAATCAATTTAGTTGTTAGACAAATAGTCATTTATACTAGAAAATTAATTCATTTACCTAACGTAATTTAGCTGACATATACAATGCTAATTAGTCAAATTTATGATAGTTAATGTATCTATTTACTGAGGTAATATAACTAATTTTTAGAAAAAGAAACTATACTTGATAAGTCTACTTGTTGAGTAGTTTAGTTACCTAAGGTATTTGGTATTTTTGTCTATTTTGTTCTAGTCTGAATTTCTATATACAGGCTGGTTCAAATTCAAAAAAGTGGTTCAAAAATGTAGCTTACATGTCATGATCTCGTTTTTCGAGAAATTGCTAATGCCGAAAACCTCATAGCGCTATCGTCTTTTGTTTTTCCCCTAGAGACCAAAATTGAAAATATCGTAAAACTAATAAGTGCAATTATCTTGGTTATTATTATAGGTGGAGTATTATAACTACGATATTATATGGACACTTTTTTACAGAAAATTTCATGACATAGTCAAAAAAAATTTTTCGGTTTTAGATTTTGAGATATCATGAGAATTTTCGTTTTTTTAAATGGAAATAACCACTGATTATTCGCTTATTAAATTCGTTATTTTTTTCTGATTACAAAAATATAGGGTTCGACAGGTCTATTTCTTATTGTTTTAGAATAAAGCTAAAAATAAACTTTTTTTATNAAGAGTTTGGGTCTTTCTTTGTCAAATGATTTTAGATATGGCACTCAAATTAGCCGGTACATAAAAAATGCATATATGGGCCTGCGGATGATATAATATCCTCACCGCTCGTGTCTTCCTACTCGCTTAAGAAGGAGACTATGTGAAGCACTTGTGTTGTCACAATTTAATTACTTGGTTCCAGTGTATCACCCTGCGATTGGTACTCTTGATGCTAAATGCATTCAAGTAGTTCAAAATAACTGTTTAAGATTTATTTATAATATCCGTAAATACGATTCCATAACTCATAAACTAACTGAAGCAGGGTGGTTGTCAATGGGTAATAGAAGACAACTTCACACGCTGCTATTTTATAATAAATTAATTAACTCTGAAACTTCTGAGTATTTATTTAATAAAATTCGTTTTAACTGTTTGGTTCGGACTCGTGATACAAGAGGAAGATACGACATTTATCCCCCGTATCATATATTTCATTTTCCTACCATATATACAAATCATATAATGAGTTGCCTATTGAGCTTAGGATTGCAGGATGTGGCGCGGTTTCGAATGGCACTTTATGCGGGGCTACTCGAGAGTCAGATTTTGATTATCAGTCAGGGACGATATTTGAATGTATTGGGCGACGCTTTCAGTTGGTAGCACTGGTTGGTTATTTGACGGTCTGGCATATTTGATTTTGCTTTTTCTATTTTCATTTTTTTTGTTTTCGTTTAATTTTTGATATCTTTATATTAAGTCTGTAAAATTTATAAGTAATCGGAATGTGAATTAATGTTAGTTTTATTAGTATTATTAAATCTTTTTATTTATGAATACTTTATTTTTTTTTCTCTTTTGTATCAGGGTGACAATGGAAGATCAGGTCGTTGTTCCTGAATTGTCGCCCGGCGGTTGTGCGAAGCGAATAGTTAGTAGCTTTCCTTATTTTCGTTCTAATAACTTGTATTTAATGTATGCATTGTTGTTAAACTGCTATGATTTTCTTTTGCTTATTTGTAGCTTTGCCCAATAAACGATTATTTATTTATTTAATTTATTAAGCGAATAATCAGTGGTTGTTTCCATTAAAAAAAAACGAAAATTGTGATAATATCTCAAAATCTAAAACCGACAAAATTTTTTTGACTACGTCATCAAATTCTCAGTTTCTCGAAAAACGAGATCATGACATGTCAGCTACTTTTCTTCCAACTCTTATAGTTTTCGAGTTAGCCTATTCGGACATCGAATTTGAACCATCCTGTACATTTAAAGCGCTCACGCATTGTTCCTGTATTCAAGCATGGCGAACGTACCAACATTACTGATTATCGACCAATATCGTTATTGTCCAATTTCGCTAAGGTATTTGAACAGATTATTTACAAGATGATTTATCCACAGGTTCAGTCATTTGTGTCACCATATCAGCATGGGTTTATCAAGCGTCGTTCGACCATTACCAACCTCGCGGTGGTTACTGAGGTAATTTGTGAATCTTTGGATAGGGGCGGTCAGGTAGATGTGGTATACACTGATTTTTCTAAAGCATTCGACATGATTCATCATGACGTCCTCTTGTATAAACTTAGTGCTTTTGGCTTATCTCCTAAGTTTATGAAACTATTTGCCTCTTACCTATCGGGTCGTATAAATTATGTGTACTACAACGGTTATGCGTCTATGGAGTTTACGGCTAGGTCTGGTGTTCCTCNAAAATGGTTCAACCATCTGTAACAGTTTGCTAAAGGAACTTTCATCCATTCAAAAGTAGTTCTTGAAATCATCAACATCGCAGAGGTTGATTTCTATCAACAGTACTAGATAAGAATATTCATCTCTCTTCTTCAACCATTCTTTCATCCAGTGTTTGCGTTTCACTCTAAGAGTAGTTCCAAGCGTCAAAATAATAGCTACGCAAGCTTTTGTACGATTATATTTATTTCGAAAGGAAAAACCGAGTAAAACTACGTAGATTCACCCTGTTTGTGGTAAAAAGGTAACTTATTGAGCAAGGTGATTGACAAAACTATTGACAATAATATTAATCGTGTAAAGTAGTGAAGTATTGAGATTGTTCTATTGTCAATACTGACATTGTCAATACTATTGATCGTGTAAGAGCCGCTAAAGGGTACATGTTTTTTGAGAAGCATGTTTTTCGAAGAAAGGGCCAATTGAAAAGTTTCCTCTAATCCCACACATTATATTAACTGCCCAACGTCGTTAGTAATTCATTTCACGTAACCAATAACAATTTTCTAGTAACCAATAAAGCAGACTTGCATCCAATGACAAAATAAAATTGACTTTTGGATATCATTCCTGAAGCTCTTGATGCAAACAGCGTACTGGTGAAATTTATGGCAATGTAAAAATCTAAGTACACTGCGTTGGGATACAGCTGAGTCATANGATTGTGGTTGGTTGTTGTCGCGGATCATTTTCGCGGTGCCTACGCGTGCAACACGTAGTACAAATCAGTTTTATTTGAGGAATTGCAGATCCAATGTTTTAGCCAACTCCCCGGTGCAGAGGATGTGTAAACTAACTAACAATCAATAATAGTGTAAGAGTGTTTATGTGAATTATATTTGTTTTATGGCATGTGTTATTTCTTATTTTCTTTTTCTTGTAATATTGTCCTGTAATTGATCTTTGTTGGGCAATAAAGTGAATTATTATTATTATTATTTAACAATGTAATATATTACCTAAATGGACAAATATACTATTATTAAATATTTTATTTAAATGTATTTTAGTCGTTTTGTCTACCCGTTTTCATCGTTACGTCGCGTCGATCGTTTATAGAAAATATTTCTTAATACAAAAATTGTTTTTTCATCATCGAAAACGATCGATAAAGCATCTGTTTTTGAAGATTAGCTACCAACTTGCAGGTATAAACTTTCTTCATTATTACAGTTACAAACCTGTAAGACTGTACTCTTGTTTTGTTAGAGGGAAGTCCACTAATATTAATATGTTTTGTGATACTCTCAGTCGTCACATGTCGTCATTAACGTGTTATTCGTGTGGTATTCGGAGTGTTTTTACGATTTGGTAAGAAATAAAAATGGATGAGCAAGTTCAAGATACTGTAACTACTTTGTTACAGCAGTGGGAATTACACGTTACTTAAGGGGCCTGTCCACGGTCATGCATGCATGACGAGCATGCTTGACCGGGGATAAGCCCCTTGACATTAGCCAATTACTTACATTCGTTCAGAAATTGCAGTGAAGTTCCTCAGAAATATGAATATTTAAATTTAAGTGATGTAAGTAAAGAACTAAACACAACGCGCTTCCTTCTTCACGTTCCCTTTTAAATAATGTGTTATCGTGTACTCATATAAGAATAAATAATACTAAGTATAGAAAAAATGAGGTAATAATAAATGCCTTTATTAGAAAATAAGCTTAATTGTACAAAAAAACATACAAAAGAAAATAGGCGAGTTCCAGCTTGTACTAGTTGGTACAGCTGCTCTGACTAACCTAAAAACAAAAAAAGAAAAACATGACTCGGCCAAAAATTACAAAGCAAAACATGTCACATCAGCGTTTGCCCCCATGTAGACATTGTTCAAGAAAACAAGAATTTTTCTGTGTAAATTTAAATCTTCCTAGTGAGAACCCCTTGCAATTATCGTCCACCTCATTATATTTCGAAGTTATTTGAAATATGTATGACCTCTGAAACAAAGACAAACGATAGAAGGGTGGCGACAGTCTTCCGCGAAATCGCGTATTTATTCGGTGGATGATGTCCTTCGGAAAGTTGTCAGTTGGTAGAGATACTGTGGTTCCTTATAGTTTATAATTGTATGGTATAGG